TATCAGATTATCAAACACATTCTTCTCTATGTGCGTCACATCCAGATTGTGACGCAAGAGAAGATGTTTCCAATAAGGTAACTAAAAAAAATGCTTCTCTTTCTCCATTGAAGTATTACATCTTCCCGGCGCCTTTTTCCCACAGCATCTATCTTCTTCCCCAAAGTAACATCCACATTCTGAATTTGTTGGAGAATAACACTTCCTGATGGTGTAATGGGAGAATCTCTTGTTTCAATAAGACCATCAAATTGCTGCTTATCTTTTCGGAAAACATGATTTTCAGGAAGAAACCGCCTATGTCCCATGTAACAATTCTTCTTCCCATGCCGTAAACGAAGATATTTAGCATCATAGTTGCAAGATGGACAAGCTAATCCAGTGTGTACGTTCCACCCAGATAAGTTTCCTAAACCTGGATAATCACTAATAGTCCATAGCAAAATCGCACGCATTGTAAATGTCTCTTTTAAAGATGCATCAAATGTTGGAACTCCATCAGACCATAACTCTTTCAATTCTTTGATAAGGGGCTGTAGATAGATGTCAATATCATTACCCGGCATCTGCTTCCCAGGGATAATCATTGACAAAATTGTTGATGTTTGCTTCATTGACATCCACGGAGGAAGGTTATAAGGGAATAAAAGCACAGGCCATACACTATAGCTCATGCTCATAGAACCATACGGATTAAAACCATCTGTTGCCAATCCTAGCCTGACATTCCTCGGCTCTGATGAGAACTCTGGAAATTGTTGATCAAAGGTTTTCCAAGCCTTTCCATCTCTAGGATGTCTTAGCTTGCCATCTGGATTCTCAGAATTAGCATGCCACCTCATGCTTTCAGCCGTCTTTGATGACATGAAAAAACGCTGTAATCGTGGTTTCAAAGGAAAATATCGGAGAACTTTAACAGCTTGTTGCTTCTTCTTCTTCTTCTTCTCAGCGGATCCATCATCATCAACTATTGCAGCCGTCTTCCATCTTGAGCTTTCACAAACTTTACATGTGTGTCTAGATGCATCATCTCCCCAATATAACATGCAATCATTACGACACACATGAATGGTCTCATATGTGAATCCTAACTTACGAATAATCTTCTTCATGTCATTGAAAGAATCTGGTAGCTTTGCATGCTGAAATGCTTCTTTCAAGAGCTCTATTACCATGGACATTTCTTTGTCACTTATCCTACACATACAATTGATGTGATACAGCTTAAGCATGAATGACAGCTTGCTAAAAGACTCACATCCTTCATAAAGAGCTTGATTACAGTCTGCTAGCAAATCATCAAGCGCCTCCTTCTGCTTTGGATGATCCTCTGTGGGACTGGCAGCATCGTCATCGTCAATACTATTATTCATACTTGGGAAAACATCTTCAAGCAGATTCATACTCAGGTCTTCTGTATAATCTACACGAGATTCAGACTCTAATCTAACTGTCTCCCCATTTGAATCTAACTCTTCACCATGCAAATACCAATTTGTATATGTTGGCCGAAAACCGTGATAGAATAAATCACCCTCAACCTCGACCCTAACCTTGTATCTAACAAGGCAGCAACGCTGACAAGGACATTTGATCATATAGGTCTTCATGTTTGCAAAGGCAAAATCCAAAAACTGATTGACTCCACTTATGTAATCTTGAGATAACCGATGTTTAGTTATCCAAGACTTATCCATTTCAGAATAAATCTATCAATAAAACAAACCAATTAAGAAGCTTGTAAGAAGCTTTATATCAAATAAACATCATAAGTGTTTTCATCTAACAAAATCAGAAAAGAATTTTCATACATTTTAAACTAATATGACTATCTATATAAATAGTTGACTATCTTTCCATAGAGAAGGTTATATCAAATAAAATTCACGTACAATCAAGCAGAAAGATAGCAATCAAGCTTTAAACACAAATAAGCAAACATCAGAACTATAATACCACAGAGGATAGTGAGAGCAATCACGTTCTAACATCAATAAGTAAACATCTAACTTAAGATGGAGCAGAGAGATAGCAATCAAGCTTTAAACACAAATAAGCAAACATCAAGACTATAATACCACAGAGCATAGTGAGGGCAATCACGTTCTAACATCAATAAGTAAACATCTAACTTAAGATTATAGAATTACCTTTGTAAAAGTTAAGCTGCTTTTGTCTACTTCTTTGATGATTTTGATTTCCACACACTCAAAACTTTTGGGGCTGATCAGCCTCAAATCTGTGAAACAACAAACACCACAGCAAACACTCAAAACTTTATACCTTCACGCTTTTCTGTGAAACAACAATCACGCATTTCTGTGAAACCCTCAAATTTAAGCCACACATACTAATAACCATAGAGCAGAGAGACCATAGAGCGAAGAGACCATAGAGCAGAGAGAGAGAGCAATCACGAGTTGAGTATGGAGCTGAAGATTATAGAATTACCTGTAAATTACTAAGAGAGAGCAATCACTTTGCTAAGTCTTCTGCAAATTTGTCAAAACCCATTGAATTACATGAAACACAAAACATTGAAAAACGAACATTAGTTTGAAATTATCAAATTCAATACTAAAACCCAATGAAATCACAGCTTGCTTTACTAACCTTATTCTTCCAAATTCTAATTCAAGCATAAACTGGTCACGAATAAGAATCACAGAAGATGGAGATGAATTTTGAAGGTGGTGAAGAAGAATTTGAGGAGAAGGCGATGGATCGAGATGGATTTGGAGATCGATTGAAAATGACGAAGATGGAGATGAATTTTGAAGGTGGTGAAGAAGAATTTGAGGAGAAGGCGATGGATCGAGATGGATTGGGAGATCGATTAACACGAAGATGACGAAGAATTAACTGGAGAAGATGGAGATCGATTTCGACGAAGAACGAAGTTTCCAGATCTAATATTGAATTTTATTTTTTACTTTCTTTTTGTTTATTAAAAAAACAAATAAAATAATTGCGGTGAAATAAGATAAAAAGAGTGTTACGTTATTTAAAATTGTGATGCTAAATAACGTCAATTAGTTTTAACTAACGTCACTTTTAAAACTAACGCTATTAAAGTGACTCTAAACGCCGTGTTTCTTGTAGTGAAATATGAAGGATGTGAAAATTCCAGGGCTAGAAGATAAATACGCAAAACCTCTATCGTTCCCAAGCAGCGACGTCATATCGGTGATTGGTTTTTGTCGGCTTGGTCTTTGCAACATGAACAACAAGAAGTTTTCATATCTGTGTCTGACCCAACATTCTTTGCCTAGCTATTTACCCAGAGATATTTGCTTCCCTTTCTACTCTAACTACGAAAGTGTTTGTGTGAATGAAGATCGGTTTGGTAAATAAATCGGTCACAATTAGATAGTAAAACGGATGTGAACGTAATGGAATTTTGCAGAACATTTCCATTTTGTTATCAGATTTTAATTGTTATATATCTTCTTCTTTGTTTCCCTCTTTCATATCTCTTTGAACACATTCATCTTGGTTAAGCTTATTAAAATTGTAAAATAATATAAACCGATAGTACTAAGAGCGGCCATGACCCATTGTCCGGCCGATCGTCCCGTCCGACCGTCTGAACGCCGCGGTCGACCCAAAGCCCGTTGAAGCCCGTTTCACGTATTTTCACGGCCCGGCTTAACCCTAAGCTGCCTCTGAAGACCTAGCACTATATATATAGCTTTTTAGCCTCTTGTGAAAGAGAGCCGCCCTTGTATCACGATTTCATACTTTGAGTTTTATTGCAATTATGTTTTCCTCATATTTTTGTGTTGTTGCTTTGATCATGTCTGAGTAATTCAGTAGTTAGGTTGTGAGATCTATCAAAGAGTTCATGGTTTGATAGGTTGCTAGAAGTCGCATAGAGTTTACTATATTGCATCTTCATCTCTACTTGAATTCATTGCTGCTTGCTTTTCTGATCAACTAGCATCAGATCTTAGGTTTCATATACTCTCCAAAAGCTTGCTATATAACCTGAACTAAGTATTTGGTGAGCAAAACTTCATAGACTGCGAAAGTTGATCTATGCGGGGTTGTGAACAATTGGGTCTTGAACGAATTATTGCTTGATTTAATCATCTAGGGACATACCAAAAGTTTAGCGACTAGGTAGATTAACAAAGGGGTCGGAGCCTCGACAGTGGAAAGATCATACAATCGTGACCTGAGTTCTAGATAGCGCAAACCCTAGTGAACCTTCTATATCTTGTTACCTTGAATCTCTGCGAGTTTCTCATTGCCTAGCGTTTCCTTTAATTGATTTTCATAAACCGTTTAAACTGCTGCTTGATTTCCCCTGTTACTCAATCGAAAACCCAAATCATACTTGTTTTCTAGCTATTTTAGACTTGCAATACTCGAAGTGTACTTATCTGCTCCTTGTGTTCGATACCCGTTTACTACTTCTGACCTGTGCACTTGCAGAATCAGGGATAGGAAAAGGGAAGACCTGATCCCGCGATCAAGTTTTTGGCGCCGTTGCCGGGGAGCAATACAGCTACCTTCGAGTTCCCAACTATAGTCTAGTCTAGAATTTCGTTTTTCCTTTTTGTTTTTGCAAATTTTCAACTTTTGTTTTCCTTTTTACTGTTTTCTATTTAAAAGAATCTTGCCTCTACCCCTTTCAGGAACTAAGCTTGAAGGCAAGACTCTAACATGAGTGATTCAGACGATCAAGAGGAGAGAGATAACTTGGCCGCGAGAGAGATCGCGCTGGCCGAACAACGCGAAGACCGTCCGGATCCGAACGCCGCGCACGATCGCGCCAATGATGGAATGCCGAGAGATGGAGCGCGAGACAATGAAGAAGTCATGGGAGATTTCGATTCCAATCCAGCACTATTAGTAAATCGGAATCCCATTCAGCCGCCACTTCCTGAAGGGAGAAGCTATGAGATTTCGCCGGAGATCATTGGTTTGGTAAAACAAAACCAGTTCCAAGGAAAACCCCAGGAGAATCCCTTGGAGCATATTGATGCATTTGAAGAAATCTGTGGAACCATCAGTGCAGGTGGAGCACCCAAGGAGTACTTAAAGTGCAAACTTTTCTCTTTCACTTTGACAGGGAAAGCTTTGAGATGGGTTAAGTCTCTTCCAGCTCAATCCATAACCACATGGAAAGAGTACAAGGTGGCATTCTTAGGCCATTTCTTCACAAAGCAAAGAGCAAACCTATTGAGAGAAAAGATCTCTAGTTTCCAACAAGGACCGGTGGAGCCTTTTCATGAAGCATTGGAGCGCTTTAAGGACTACACAAGGGAGTGTCCTAATCATGGGGTATCTGATGGCAGTCTATGGAACATTTTCTACAGAGGAATAAGTGGGAAGTGTCGATTTTCTCTTGATACAGCCAGCAATGGAAATTTCATGACCAAGACAGTTACTGAAGCAAAGATTCTAATTGAGAATCTAGCCTCAAGCGACAGTGACAACTTCATTGGGCATGAGAGAGCAGTGAAGGCCATAAATTCTGATCCATACAGAGATGGATACAGTGAGATCAAAGCCATGATGGCTGAGATACTGAGAAACCAAGGAAGAGAAGTGGAAGACAAAGAGAAGCTTATAGAGTTGAGTCCACAATAATTCAAGATTACTTTGGAGATTTGATTCCAAGTTTCCAAGAAGAAGTAAACTTTGTTGGAATAGATGGATTGGCACATGAAGAAGCTTGGAAAGGAGAGCATGATGTTTTTACAACAAGAATCACCCAATGAGAAGAGGGATGTTCATGGAGGAAGAAATTATCAGCAACCACCTCACAAGAGAAGAATGGAGCCAAGGAGCAACTTTGAAGATTTGATAACTTTCATCAAGAGTTCTCATAGAGAGCATACAGCCTTGATTGATGAGAGATTGGAGTCAGCCTTCACGGATTGAATGAGAAGTTGGATTCTATTTCTTCTTTCACAAGAGACTTGGATCTTAGAGTTGCCAACATAGCCAGCTCTATTAAGAGAGAAGAAGGTGCTACCAGGAAAAGTGGAAATCAATCCAAGGAGAGCAGCTGTAGCAGCTATCACTCTTAGGAATGGAAAAGGGTATGAGCCGCCAGCATACCCAGATCAAGAGGAAGCAAAGCCGCCAATCAAGAAGAAACCAATGGAGTATGTTATTATTGGAGATGGGACTGAACCACCTAAGGAAGTCCATGTCAGAATAGAACCAGGAACTCAGGAGGAAGTGGAGAAGCCACCTGAAGAACCAAGAGTGTATGAGCCAAAGATCCCATACAGAAATGTTCTTTCTCAACCCAAGAAGGAGAAGGAGCAAGCAAAGCTCAAGGATCTTGTTAGCCAACTTTCAGTAAGGTTGCCTTTCATTGATGCCTGCCAATAATTCCATCTCTCAGGAAATATATGAAGGCCATACTCACAAGCAATGTAAGCCTTGAAGAAGGAGCAATGATGATTACAAAGGAGTGTAGTGCCATACTTCAGAATCGCATGCCAGAGAAGCTGAACGACCCAGGGAGTTTTGTTTTGTCTTGCAAGATCGGTTCTACACACTTCCATAGAGCACTTTGTGATTTGGGTTCTAGTGTGAACTTAATGCCTTACTCAGTGGCCAAGCTATTGGGCATCACTGACTTCAAACCTACAAAGATATCTCTAGTCTTTGCAGACAGATCTGTTCGCCGCCCTGTTGGTGTTATTATGGATGTTCCAATCATGGTTGGAGATTGCTACATCCCTGCTGATTTTGTAGTTCTTGAGCTGGAACACCAACCTAAAGACCCTCTTATCTTGGGAAGGCCATTCCTAGCTACTGCAGGAGCTATAATAGATGTCAAGAATGGAAAGATTGACTTGCATCTTGGAGATATAGTGATGAATTTCGAGGTAAACAAGTCTATGGAGAAACCAACTGTAGATGGTCAAGCTTTTTGGATTGGAGAGCTCGCAGAGACAAGAGAAGAAGTGCTGGATGAACTCCTTCTTATTGATCCCTTGGAGCTAGCTTTGACAAAGGCTGAGAATGAGTATGGATACATGGAAAGAGAAGCTCAATGCTTAGTCAAGTTCATGGATTCAAGGAAGCTTATAAAAGCTGATAGCTTATATGGACTTAGAGAGAGAAGAGGAAGAGCCAGACATTGACAAGAAAGATCACAAACCAAGGTTAAGTTCGACCCATGGTGCCCACTTAGAGCTCCAAAAGCCGAGCTCAAACAACTCCCAGTTGGTCTAAGGTATGAATATCTTGGTCCTAATGAAACATATCCTGTTATTGTTAATGCTGCACTAACAAAAGAAGAGACCGCTTTAGAAAGGCACAGACGTTCCGAGAAGCGCCACAAAATGTCGATGTTCGCCGAATAGGCCATCCCAGACTAAGAACAAATCAGAGCCCAGGTCAGCCCGTCCACGAACTCGACCCTCTTGACCAAAGCCTAAGGCTTGCCAACCCGTACTTCGGTCAGGAGTTGTGTTAGCCCGGACCAAGCTAATATCATTGGAACATAAGGTCTTTACATAAAACTTTCCTTTATTAAAATATCAGAGTGCTTACAAAATCCGACTTAAAAAACATGCGGATCGATCCTTAGTTCCAAACCAAACAACAAACCATAATTTTACAAAAACATACCACAAAACTATTCTGGCGCCTACTGCCTGCAGCGGTCCGCTCTACTTCACACCTCTACGGTCACCTGAAAACATTAAACAAAAGGAATGAGTAATCTAATATTACTCAGTGAGTCTAGGACCTCTATACAAGGGGGATTCCCTAAACTCCAAACACAAACGCCGCGGGCTTGTAACCCCGCCTCACCTGCATTGAGGTTAGCACAACACAACATATGCAATCACATGCAATATTGATGCTATAGCCTTAAGACTAACCGTACCCCAATCAAACAAGAACAGGTACGATCAATCCCAAGACTATAACAACAATCAAACAATCTATATGCAATGCCCATGCAAACCTAGACAAGTATCTAATACTTGTTTTCTATATGCAATAAGGCGCCTAGGTGCATTAGCCACATTCTCTGCCCACGCCTGTGAAGGTTCACGCTCATCCGGAATCACACAGAAACTAGATGAACGCCTTCACCCGGGCACTACAGTCCATCGCGGTACCCGGTTCATCCTTCCATCTATTGGCCTTACTGGCGCACCATGCCAATGTCTGGTTGGATCCCATATCGTCATATGGTACCATACTCGGCCAAGGCAGCTGACCAGGTTATCCTCCGAGTCTTCCTCCCTTCATGCACAGCCTCCACGCTGCCAATCCGGTTGGGCTCTGACGTGCGAGAATGCGCTTGACTACACCTTCCTAGACAACATGTGGTTAGACACGCCACATGTTCTCAGTACTTAGCATATGGGCCTTTACGCACCACTATGCCTCATACCACCGGTTCTGCGGCAGAGCTTCCCTTGCCTCGGAAGAGTACCCACACGAACCTCGAAAGATCTGGCGGCTCAGCCGTCCGTGATCTTTCCACATCGGAGTCATACTCAACATATGGGCCTTACGCACCACCATGTTAGTATGCACTCGAGGTTTAGCGGCATAGCCATGCTATAACCCCACAACCGATGCATCTATGAGATTTGGCGGCATAGCCATCCACAATCTCACATCACCTAATGTATAGATATGCATCTACACTAACAAGATCTGACGGCATAACCTTCCCCGAAGGTTACCCATCACAATCTTACACAGAAAAGAGATCTGTTGGCATATCCTTCCCCGAAGGTTACCCAACACAACCTCACACACAAAAGAGATCTGGCGGCCTAACCTTCCCCGAAGGTTACCCGACACAACCTCACAACACAAGAGATCTGACGGCATAACTTCTCTCCCTAGAAGATTACCCATCACAACCTCACAACAATGCAAACCTGCATATAAACACACAAGAGATTTGACGGCATAACTTCTCTCCTAGAAGATTACCCATCACAACCTCACAACACATTATATAAATTTCTGCAGCATAACTCTCCACAATTTTTACTAAACCTTATTGTTTAGAGAGTTATACTACAGAACCAATAACCAATATGAACAGAAAGCATCTCCTATGCTTTGGTGTTCATACAACCTGCATACACACAAAGATCCAAAATACTAAAACTATAACACCAAGACTCACCACTTTAAGAAGACTTCAAGATCCTCCTAGCTTTCCTTAAGCTTTGATCTTGACCTACTCTAATCTTCCACTAACCTCACTTAATTAAGAAAACTTTCTTAATTACTCTCTAATCACTTTTCAGGTGCTCTCTAGCTTTGGGAATGGAATGGTTTGGACTTGGGGTGGAGGAGCGTATTTATAGGAGTTCAGGAGGCTGCCTGGCTTCTTGGGACGTCTCCAGTCATGCGCAGACACATGGAGACCTAGGTCTAGCATAGCTTTGCTTGGTGGCGACCTACACTGCCTCAGAACGCGACATCCAGGCGGTCTAGGCTAGGTAGCTTTGATTGGTGGCCTCTAGGGCGTCTCAGGACATGACACACGTCATTCCTATCCCCTCTCAATGCTCATCCAATGAGCCGACTTCCCCCAAGCATGTGGTGTGATCGTGCCATTGGTTATAACTCATCTTATCCATTAAGATGTGGGTGCTTCTGTCTGATTGGTCAGCTCTTGATCCAATCCGTTTCTTCTCTCTACTTGCTTCTCATCCACTCCTGAAGCTTATACTCTCTCTCAGTAGGTTGGTGTTGCATCCTGATTCGTCCAAGTCTTTCGTCTCCATTGAGCACTTGTCTCGTCTGATTGGTTTGGACGATTCTTGTCTCTCATGAGCAGCTGGGTGTCTCTCCCTGATAGCATTAGGTCTTCTTGGAGCTTATCCACGCCCTCTCTCCTCTTTAGCAGCTGGTGTCGTTGCCCAATTGGCTTAGGCTTGCTTCGTCTTCATTCGGTAGCTGGATGTTGCTACATGATTGGCTGAATGGTTTTGGCTCCATCTGAGTAGCTGAGTGTCTTCTCCATATTGGTTAGATCATCCTTATCTTCTCCAAGTAGCTGGTGTCACCACTTGGTTGGCTTAGAACAAGATTGCTCCAAATGTACGTTTCCTCGTCCAGAGGTTTCGTCGTTCCCGTCGTGCTTGAGAATTAAAATCTCCTATTTTAATCCTTCTCTCATTTCCATGTTTCTGAGCTTCCACATAGTTGCTTGGAAATGTGCGGAATACCTCCATCCCGAACATTTACGTTTCTTGCAGTCGTTGCGGGATAGATCTTGGGCGTCCGTCCCATCTCTCAATCTGCTCGTCCGATTTGCATTCTGCTTCGACCAAACTTCTTAGAATGGTCTCTTATGTCTCCAGACTCTTCTCTTCTTGATTTGGAGAACTTTGATATTTCGTCCTGTCGGCTCTTCCCATGTTCGTACAATGATCGTCCCACCTGGACAATCTTGTTGTATCTTCAGTTCTGCTCGATCGTTCTTGATCCTGTCTTGATCCAAGTCTTCGTTGTGATCTCTGGATTAGATCCCACGTCTTTGTCTTCCAATCCCAGAGTGTTGATCTTCCCATCCCGGCCTTTGGGATGTTTTAGGTCTTGATACGGGGTATCACATTCTCCCCCCCTTAATAGAATTCGTCCCCGAATTCCAGTTGTAGAGAGTAGGAACGTTCCATTGTTCCGGTGTCTCTCCCCATCTTTGAAGATGCCTTGCCTCCTCTTACTCTGTCTTCACGTTGTCCCCAGACTCCTCTTACTTTGTCTTCACGTTGTCCCCTTGCACTCCTCTTCCACTGATCTCCTCTGATCCTCCTTGCTCAAATCTCCATTCCCATAACCATCCATCCCGGCTTTAACTATGGGTTATCTAATGTCAAAACCGTACCTTAACCAACACTTCCCTGTTGGTCTTGATCCCGGTCTGACCACTCTAGCGAGGTTCTCCTAACTTCGCTAACCACCTAACCTCTTACTCAAGGATCTTCCGTCCTAGCTTTATTTCCCTCTTGGAAACAGCATTCACTGGAATTTCCTTGTATATTAACACATCGCTTCCCTTTAAGGGTTCCACTCGATGTGCTAATACCCAAAACTACTTTACCAGAACCAACTTGGTTCCAAGGATATCCGCTCTAGTTTCATTTCCCACTGGAAATAGAAACATCGGAATCTCCTTTCACCACATCGTTTCCCAAAACATGGGTTTCCTAAACGATGTCTCTACCAAACTCAACTTAAACCACCAAACAATCCTACTTACTATACCAAGCAAGCAAGAAAATAAACCATTCAAAGATTGAGTTAGAACCCGAAAAATACCTTTTCTCGGCATGTGGTTTAGGGTTCCTAGACTCTATCTTACATTCTACGGCTTCCACTCCCTGGTCGCCTCTCTCTCCTTGTGGTTGAGCGGGTGGGTTGACTAGTACTGGGGCAGTTCCTTGGACAGTCTGCTGAGAAATGGCCTTTCTCTCCACAAGTAAGGCAAATGTTCTGCCTTTCATTCATCCTTGATCTAGCTCGCACATTGGGACATGCCCTGCTATGATGTCCCGTCCTTCCACATTGATCGCATGGTAGCGTGACTTGAGACGGTGCTGGGACTCTCATCCTCGCGGTCTTCTGGGAGGCCTTCCCCTTTGGCGTGACACAGTTTGCTCTTGGCCATTACCCTCTGTTCTGAGATTCTCCAATTCTGTGGCGATTATCTCATCCCACCTTCTTGCTAGGTTAAGACCTTCATCATCTTGTAGCCATTCATTCTCTCCGGTACCTTCCTCCGTGGTTTGGTTAAGATCCGGTATTTGATGTTGAGCTCCAATGCCTGCCACCGAGTTCGGTGCATCTTGTTCTCCATACATTGTACACCACATTGCATTAGCTTCTCCTTGATCTTGAGGTATGCTTCCTTCTCCATGCTCCATTGATGATGTGTATCCAGCGATCTCGTTGAGTTTCCTTGTCCAGTACGTGGGTGATACGTTCTGGTGTCCAAGATAATCCTCCCATGTTGGTTCCGGCGTATCTGGTTCTTCAGGTTGGTTTCTGAAGACTTCATTATTGACTTGAGTTGCGATGGCTGGATCATTGCTTTCTACACCCGTGGTAATGAACGGGTATACGTAGTCCGTTGGATTCTCCTCCGTTGGCATGTACGGATATACTCCACCTCCTGGTGCAAATACATGCGGCATTGGTATATGCGGTAGAACACTTGGTGGACTATCTCTATCCCAAGAGTTTGGTGTAGTCTCGCCTGAACTGATCTCTATGATCTGAGTAGATGACACTACTCTCTCCTCCTCAGGGTAATGTACTGGCCAAGTCATGTGTTCGCCATACTCATTCACCGTTGTGCTGGGCTGCACGTTGTCTCTCGGCATAAGATATACGTCCTCGTCCCAATCACTGCTGCTATCATGATCTGTTAGTGTCTGCTGTTCCAAGTCCGTCACTACGATCCAGTGCTCCGAATTGCTCGATGGTTCTGAGCTCGACGATCCAGACTCCACTGTCCACTCTTGCCCAGTACTAAACCACGACCCCTCATCATCCACAACCAGTCACTCATGACTTCAAGCTATCACCACAACCGATGCATCTATGATATTTGGTGGCATAACCATCCACAATCTCACATCACCTAATGAATAGATATGCATCTACACAAACAAGATCTGACGGCATAACCTTCCCCGAAGGTCACCCATCACAATCTTACACAGAAAACAGATCTGTTGGCATATCCTTCCCCGAAGGTTACCCAACACAACCTCACACACAAAAGAGATCTGGCGGCCTAACCTTCCCCGAAGGTTACCCGACACAACCTCACAACACAAGAGATCTGATGGCATAACTTCTCTCCCTAGAAGATTACCCATCACAACCTCACAACAATGCAAACCTGCATATAAACACACAAGAGATTTGACGGGATAACTTCTCTCCTAGAAGATTACCCACCACAACCTCACAATACATTATATAAATTTCTGCAGCATAACTCTCCACAATTTTTACTAAACCTTATTGTTTAGAGAGTTATACTACAGAACCAATAACCAATATGGACAGAAAGCATCTCCTATGCTTTGTTGTTCATACAACCTGCATACACACACAAAGATCCAAAAGACTAAAACTATAACACCAAGACTCACCACTTTAAGAAGACTTCAAGATCCTCCTAGCTTTCCTTAAGCTTTGATCTTGACCTACTCTAATCTTCCACTAACCTCACTTAATTAAGAAAACTTTCTTAATTAACTCTCTAATCACTTTTCAGGTGCTCTCTAGCTTTGGGAATGGAATGGTTTGGACTTGGGGTGGAGGAGCGTATTTATAGGAGTTCAGGAGGCTGCCTGGCTTCTTGGGACGTCCCCAGTCGTTCATAGACACATGGAGACCTAGGCCTAGCATAGCTTTGCTTGGTGGCAACCTACACTGCCTCAGAACGCGACATCCAGGCGGTCTAGGCTAGGTAGCTTTGATTGGTGGCCTCTAGGGCGTCTCAGGACATGACACACGTCATTCCTATCCCCTCTCAATGCTCATCCAATAGGCCGACTTCCCCAAGCATGTGGTGTGGTCGTGCCATTGGATATAACTCATCTTATCCATTAAGATGTGTGCTTCTGTCTGATTGGTCAGCTCTTGATCCAATCCGTTTCTTCTCTTCTACACTTGCTTCTCATCCAATCTTGAAGCTTTACTCTCTCCCAGTAGTTGGTGTTGCATCCTGATTCGTCCAAGTCAGTTTCGTCTCCATTGAGCACTTCTGTGTCTCCGTCTGATTGGTTTGGACGATTCTTGTCTCTCATGAGCAGCTGGGTGTCTCTCCCTGATAGAATTAGGTCTTCTTGGAGCTTATCCACGCCCTCTCTCCTCCTTAGCAGCTGGTGTCGTTGCCCAATTGGTTTAGGCTTGCTTCGTCTTCATTCGGTAGCTGGATGTTGCTACATGATTGGCCTGTACGGTTTTGGCTCCATTGTAGTAGCTGAGTGTCTTCTCCATATTGGTTAAGATCATCCTTATCTTCTCCAAGTAGCTGGTGTCACCACTTGATTGGCTTAGAACAAGATTGCTCCAAATGTATGTTTCCTCGTCCAGAGGGTTTCGTACGTTTCCCTGTCCGGAGGGTTTCGTCCCTGTCGTGCTTGAGAATTAAAATCTCCTATTTTAATCCTTCTCTCATTTCCATGTTTCTGAGCTTCCGCATAGTTGCTTGGAAATGTGCGGAATACCTCCATCCCGAACATTTACGTTTCTTGTAGTCGTTGTGGGATAGATCTTGGGCGTTCCATCCCATCTCTCAATCTGCTCGTCCGATTTGCATTCTGCTTCGACCAAACTTCTTAGAATGGTCTCTTATGTCGTCCAAACTCTTCTCTTCTTGATTTGGAGAACTTTGATATTTCGTCGTCCTGTTGACTCTTCCCATGTTCGCACAATGATCGTCCCACCTGGACAATCTTGCTGTATCTTCACTTCTGCTCGATCGTTCTTGATCCTGTCTTGATCCAAGTCTTCGTTGTGATCTCTGATTAGATCCACGTCTTTGTCTTCCAATCCCAGAGTGTTGATCTTCCCATCCCGGCCTTTGGGATGTTTTAGGTCTTGATACGGGGTATCACACTCTTGGTTACTCTTTGGATGATTTAACAGGAATCTCACCTGAACTATGCATGCATCGCATCATCCTGGAGGATGAGTCTAGTTCTTCAATTGAACATCCAAGGAGGCTAAACCCAAACCTAAAGGAAGTTGTGAAAAAGGAGATAATGAAGCTATTGAAGGCTGGAGTGATATATCCAATATCTGATAGTGCATGGGTCAGCCCTGTACATGTCCTGCCAAAGAAAGGAGGGATCACAGTCATCAAGAATGAACATGATGAGCTCATCCCAACGAGGACAATCACAGGACACAGAATGTGTGTCGACTACAGGAAGCTGAACTCCTCTACGTGCAAGGACCACTACCCCCTGCCATTCATAGACCAGATGCTTGAGCGCCTTTCCAATCATCAATACTACTGTTTCTTAGATGGATACTCGGGATTTTTCCAAATTCCAATCCATCCAGATGACCAGGAAAAGACTAACTTCACTTGTCCTTATGGCACATACGCTTATAGGAGAATCCCTTTTGGGCTGTGCAATGCTCCAGCTACATTCCAAAGGTGTATGATGTCCATATTCACAGACCTAATAGAAGAGATTATGGAGGTTTTCATGGATGATTTCTCAGTATATGGTTCCTCTTTTGAATCATGTTTGGGAAATCTTGGAAGAGTGCTACAAAGATGTGAAGACAAGCATCTAGTTCTCAATTGGGAGAAGTGTCACTTTATGGTTAGGGATGGAATAGTGCTTGAACATAGAATCTCATAGAGAGGCATAGAAGTCGACAAGGCCAAGATTGAAGTCATGACAAACCTTCAGCCGCCCAAGACAGTCAAGGATATTAGAAGCTTCCTAGGACATGCTGGATTCTACAGGAGGTTTATTAAAGACTTCTCACAGATAGCAAGACCATTAACACGCCTATTATGTAAGGACATCAACTTTGAGTTCACACAGGAATGTCACAAAGCTTTCACTAAGATCAAGGATGCATTGGTCAGTGCGCCAGTGGTTCAACCCCCAAACTGGGAACTACCCTTTGAGATAATGTGTGATGCAAGTGATTATGCAGTAGGAGCAGTGCTTGGGCAAAGAAAGGACAAGAAGCTACATGTGATCTATTATGCCAGCAGAACGCTTGATGAGGCACAATGCAAGTATGCCACGACAGAAAAGGAGTATTGTCTTTGCATTTGAGAAGTTTCGATCATACTTGGTGGGATCGAAAGTTATAGTTCATTCTGATCATGCAGCATTAAGGTATCTTTTATCCAAGAAAGATGCCAAGCCAAGATTGCTGAGATGGATACTACTATTGCAAGAATTCGATCTTGAGATCAAGGATAGAAGAGGAGCAAATAATGGAGTAGCTGATCACATTTCAAGATGAGAGTGGACTGATGTTGCTGATGTACTTGCATTTTACATAGTTTTAGCACATCTTTTATGCATCTTTTGCATAGTTTTAGCTTCCATTTGCATCATATCTTGTTCCTTTTCTCTTCTTATGCATTCATGTTAGTTTTAGGTTGCATTTGCATACATATGCATGTTTGGTCCTTTGAAATAGGTCTTTTGGAGCATTCTGGAGCATATGGACATAAGGAGCATGGAGGGACTTGGCACATGGAAGCAGCTCAACTGGATACGCAAAGGAAGAAGGGAGAAGCCATCTTGAAGACCAGCTCGACCGTCTACTCGACCAACCGGTCGAGTTCCTCAACTCGACCGGCCAAGCTTCAACTCGATCGAGCTGAGAAGTCAAAGTCAAACCCGAAAAATGTTGCTTCCCCCTTGACTTTCCTTTGACCCTAAACCTAATCCTCTTGTATTTAAAGGCTCTAAGCCACGAAAAAACCACCAAGCTTTAGATTATTTTGTTTTAGTTTCTTTAATTTATTGTCTTTTACTTTTTAGAACTAATCCCATCTTTGTGTTCTTGAAGCTCTTGCTTCTTGAATCCTTAGATCCTGGATAATCTCTTTGTATTTGCACTTGCTTATTTCAATAAAAGTTGTTTAATTTCATCTCCTCTTTCTTATGATGTCTCTTTTATTGCATTTGCTTGTGTTTACATTCATGTGTAGTGAGTAGTTACCCATTAGGGTTTGAGATGGGATAGATTAGAGGTTTCATATGCTTAATCCTTCTAGCTTATGGTCTTAATCTAGATTCTCTCTCTTTTGGATAGATCTTAAGGCTACATGACCACTACCCCTGGCTTGTAAGTCCTTAGGCGACTCCCCACACGAAAGTGATGGCATTCGCTGGAAAAGATCCACTAAGAGCTCCAATATCTCTTGCTCTAGACAATAGAGGTCTAAGGGGTTGGATGGATTAGTTTGGGCAATGATCCTATAGCCTCCAAGGTTTGATTCTCACTGGCTAACCCCCTGTTTCTGAGATCATTCCTTGGTTGATAGCCTCACCTTGGGAAAGGGTTGGCTAGGCATTGAGAAGCCCAATATCAAGAGAAGCCTTGATACAAGGAGTTTTAAGAGCTAGATTGATTAAGTGTAGATTCCTTTGATTGCAAAACCCTGTCTTGAACCCTAATTCTCTCTTATCTTGTTAAAGTCGTCACCTTTAGCTTTTTTGTCTCAACTCGTCCCTAAACTCGATCGAGCTGGTACTTTGTTCTGACTCGACTCGAGTCTTGGTCGAGCTGCACTTCACTGCTTTGTTTACTTTTATTGCACTGCATTTCATTTTTTTAGGTTGTTAGTGTTACTTCAAATCTATTAACTGCTTGCTTGACTTCTGGTTGTTTCATATTCTCATAGAGTGACAAGTTTCCCATTTTGGATTGATAACCTCTTATACTACATGACTATGATGGTTAAGAGGAATTGATTGATTGTGATTTACCACCATTCATCTTTATCACCCTGTTTGCATTCCACCTCATATCTTATCATTCATTCATATCATCACACACAAAATCCTATCATCAATTTGGCGCCGTTGCCGATTTGGGAATATTTTTGTTGCATTTGAGTTTCAAACACACTTGGACGATCAAGCTATACCACCCCTGTTCTATTGTACTGCTGGGTTTTTGTCTCTTTTTGCAGGTGTATGCGAACTCGATCGAGTCGGTCACAGAAGACTTGGTCGAGCTAGACTTACAACGGGTAGAAAGAGGGTTCAGAGGTCACAGAGGGTACAAGAGGAACCTGAGGTGCTTGTTGCTGATACAATGGATGTACCAGAGGGGAATGGAAACCCTTTGGGAATGGACTCGGTCGAGCTAGGCAAACTCGACCGATTGGTCAAGGAGATGCTCCAAACCGCCACCAACAGAGACAAGGGATTGTTCCACCACCAGTGCAGAACCACAACTTTGAGATCAAGCTGGGAATGATCAACCTTGTCCAGAACAAGATGTTCCATGGATTGCCAAGTGAAGACCCCATTGACCACCTTGATGAGTTTGATAGGCTTTGTGATTTGACAAAGATCAATGGTGTCTCTGAAGATGCCATCAAGCTGAGACTCTTTCCTATGTCTCTAGCTGACAAAGCTCACCAATGGGAGAAGAGCTTGCCCCATGGCACAATCACCACTTGGGATGAATGCAAGAAGGCCTTTCTTGCTAAGTTTTTCTCCACCGGTCGCACAGCCAAGCTTAGAGGAGAGATATCCAGCTTCATCCAGCGAAACAATGAGACATTCGCAGAGGCTTGGGAGAGGTTCAAAGGGTACACAAGTCAGTGCCCACACCATGGATTCAACAATGAATCACTACTCTCCACTCTTTATAGAGGATGCTTGCCTAGGTATAGGGAGATGCTAGACACAGCTAGCAATGGGAACTTCCTCAACCAGGATGTAGATGATGGCTGGCAACTTGTGGAGAACATAGCTAACTCAAATGGAAGCTATGGAGAAGAGTATGATCGCACCAACCGGAGCTCGACCCACCACTCGATCGAGTCAGACGAAAAGTTGAGAAAAGATGTTAAGGCATTGAATGAGAAGTTGGATAAGCTGATCCTAGCTCAGTCCACAATGAAGAAAGTCAACTTTGTGTCTGCTGAGGAGATGGAACCAGTCCAAGAAGGGGAGGATACACAATTTGCTGAGGTGTGCTACATGAGCAATGGGCAAGGAGGTTACAACAAAGGATACTATAACTACAAGTCCAACCCTGCCATGTCATACCGCAACACTGATGTTGCTAACCCTCAGGACCAAGTATATCCTCAACAACAAGCAGCTCGATCGAGTCAGGTGCCACAACATGGGTATGGTCAAAAGAACAATTACCAAGGACCACAAGGCACTTTCCCTGGACAACAAATGAATATCCCACCAGGCTTCCCCCACCAACCGCCCCAGCCTGCACCTTCACAAGAGAATGAGCTCAAGGCAATGCTAAAGCAACTACTTCAAGGGCAAGCTGATGGGGTAGTGGACACAAGCAAGAAGCTAGCTGAAATAAACTCTAAGATCGAGAACCTCAACACAAGGGTTTACTCTCTGGAGAATCATGCTTCTTCTGTTGCTGCTGCTACAAAGCAAGGACAACTACCTGGTAAAGCTATTCAGAACCCCAAGGAACAGTGCAAGGTCATCTTCACTCAAGAAGGACTTGTTGAAGAAGAGGATCAAGAAAGGGTCATTGAAGATTTTTGTTTACTGCTGAATGATGAAGAGATTGTTGCTGCTGAGGCTCCTGGAGTCCAGATTGATCAACCAGAAGTGCATGCACCTACTGTGGCCATTCACACTTCACCAGTTGAGCTCGCACGACAAGCTCGATCGGCAGCTCGATCGAGTCCAACTCTAGCTCGATCGAGTCCGACCTCTTCTGTCCGACAGCCTGTTTTGCTTGATCCTTACCAACCGGTTGCCGCTTCCTCGTCTCGCCTACTTAGTCAAGGTCACAAGGAAGTGATTCACAAGTTCAGAAGAGATCTCAGTGGGATTGGAATTGAGTTGCCTCTATGGATAGCATGAGTGAGGCATTTGATCAAATGCAAATGGTCAAGGATGTTCTAGCCAACAGTGATAAAGTTTCAGAGGTCCTACAAGAGTCTACTCATCAGTTCAACCTGCTTACTTCACCCACCTTCCTACCAAAGGTCAAGGATCAAGGGAAATTCACTCTCCCTTGCACACTTGGGCATCTTGAGATTGACAATGCCTTAGTGGATTCTGGAGCAAGCATCAATCTGATCTCTCTCTCCATGGCAGAGAAGCTAGGCATAGCTGGAGCCTTGCAGCGCCCTACTACTTCAATCATGTTTA